AAACACAATAACTTGGCTGCTCACTCAGATTGCTTCTCCAGGTTTGAACTTTATTAATGTCTAAATGTGCTCAATTTTCCATGTTTAACCAATTGGGTCTTACCCTTTTTGACTGTTCACCAGCCAGATTACTAGTGGTCGTCAAGTAGGCTGTGGCTAAGTGTTCAGCCTCATTGGTCCTACCCAGTAATGTCTGCCTGATATGGACCAACAAGACTACAGAACACATGTATTATATGACCTCAGGAACAGTGCCTCAGAGCTTGGCCCCCCACGTCACACGAACCTGGGTTTGAAAACTGGATTCACAGCAGTATATGCTGCATAGCATTGTTGGGAAGATTATTAAAGGACATGCAAACTAAGAGTGTAGTGCAGTAGCTGACAGAGAACAAGTACATAATGAATGTTAGCACTGATGAATGCTATTATTTCCTGAAGACATCAGACATTTCAAAGAATAAAAGTGAAGTTGTCAGGGATGTACAGGTTCAATTAACCCTGTACAAAGACTTGCAAACTAACCGATCCAGGAAGAGGGCCTAACGTACACACATTGTATGAGTGCCTGTCAGGTGTGAACGATCCCAGATACTGGGATACAAAATAAATATGACAAGCCTAATGCACACACATTCTGTGAGTGCCTGCCAGGTATGAACGATCCCAGATACTGGAATACAAAATGAATATGACAAGCCTGGTCCTCACAGGGTTTAAAGTCAGGACGCAGAGCTCAAAATCAAGGTAGAGGGCCGGCCAAATGGTGCATTGGGTAAGAGCTGGCTTGGGACGCCAGCTCTGAGCAGCAGGGCCCCAGTTCAGATCCCACATGAGGGCCAGTGATGCTGCGCCCTCTACAGCTAAGATGGTGAACAACAGCTCGTCCTGGGGCTGGGCTGCGGTGAGTCACTGGTGCCCACGTAGGCTGTAGCCCCTGCTGCAGTGGGCTGCCATGAGCTACTGTGAGTGGCTGGCAGCAGGCGTGGGCAGCTGGCAGCTGGTGTGAGCTGCCAAGAGCAACCGTGAGCGGCTGTCCAGTGGCCAGCGACCCATCTACCTCACCGGGGAAGAGCACAATGAGAATACCAACATGGGCCAGTGAAGCAACATCCTCCACAACTAGACTGAAGAACAAAAGGACAGCAACTTGTCTGTTCCCCTCCCCCAATTCCTCAATTAAAAAAAAAAATCAAGGTAGAAACAGGCTCCTGTGGGAGCAGAGATAAGAGACACTTGATTGAACCTAGGACCGCAAGAGAAGATGTCTTGAGATGAATCTTTGTGGTTAAATAGTTAGGCAGGTGAAGACCATGGACTAAGTGTGAAATGACATGGCCCAGGTTAAGATGTACAGGTAGCTCAATCCTTCTGCAGTTTTAAAAGGCAAAGTAGAAGGACAAAGAGAGAAGTGAAATCATCAACCCGCTGAGCCCCCATTCCTCAAAGCCAAATCTCCGCGTAGGAGCTGCGGGTTCTTACCCCATCTCAGGCACCTGAACTCTGCTGAATGTGCTTTCTGTGTCATGGGGATTCTGGGGATCCATCTGCTAAAACACCTAGACTAATTGCCACAAATCACATTAAAAAATTTCATTTAAAAAAAGCCGACTGACACTCAAACAGCCATTATATCGGATCTTTTGGGTTTGGAACCCAAGTCACTAAAAAGAGCTTCTATCACGATTCCTTTTTTCCTGAAATTATATGTGGATTCCTTACATGTGCAAGGGCTGGACCCTATTCAAGGAGACTTCAGCATCGCAGGACGTTCTGGCCTGTTCCCCATGTAAGGGAAAGATGCCTCCCTGGTTTTGGGTGAGTCTTAAGACTGTTTCTCACGCCCATACAGTGTCCCGTGTTCATGAGCTGCTGCCCCTCCCGTGTCTCTTCTATGTCCTGAGACCCACTTCCTCTGGCATATCGGGATGGGTCAGAAGGATGCACAGGGTCTAACAACCTACCCAACCTCGGTAGGGTAAAAATTATTCTCGGAGACCCTTAGGCAAGATCCTCTAAATGAAATCCCTACCCAGGCAGGGTGGAGACTTCTAGCTGGTCACTGAACCTGTTTTTCCTCTTTATAGGCAGGAATGGAAGGGACACATGCCACTTTAAGGCCTGGTCCATAAAAATCTCCAACAGATTATCCTCCCTGCCCTTTGTCATCTAGTGATTGCATGTTTGAATGTCTAGGGTGACCTTGGAAGTCATATAAAGTAGATGGGGGAGCCACTGGCTCTCCGGGTGCCTGAACTATGTGCAGAAGAGCAGAACGTCCCTCTCCACCCCAAATTTCCATGACCCGAAATCCTATTACTGCAAAAGCAGCAAGAAATACATTTCAACTAGGCTTAGGTCACTGAAATTTTAGTTGGTTATAGTAGCTAGCCTATTTGAACTAATACATCTGGTTAAATATATGTGTGGCTAACTCACTTTTTTTTTTTTAAACCAGTACTAGAGAAAATTATCTCCTAGTTTCAGAGCACTATAGTATCTCATCCTCACAGAAATTCATTTTTGTTCATCTAAAGCCTAGTAATTATTATATAATCGAATCAGAGTCTGCAAAATCAGGTACCAAAAGGATAGGCTGATAACATAAATCAATAAAGCTAGCATGAAAAATAGAAAAAACAATTACTGGAACATGTTTGCCTTAAACAGGAATCCTCTATTTAGTTTCTAACAATTGTCATGTCAGAACGCAGGCCATATCGCTGGATCTTTGCATTTTTTGAGATGATTGGGAGATCCATAATTTGTGAATTTTTTTATTTTTTACACTCTGCTAAATAAAATATAGCCATGGGCTTTGTATAAACAGACCTGCAGTGTATGAACTGTGACTTTAAAGTAACATAGAATCCAACTTTCAGACATGTCCCCCAAACCATCAGGGTTGGTATCAGGTACCTTCTTTGAGAGTTCAGAACCACCTCTGATGCAAAAGAAACTAGCCCACAGCAAATCTCTAAAACTTAAGAAACCAAGTTTGGGAATTCAGAGCGATTCTTCACAGTCCTGAAGGTGAAGCCTACTGAGCCTAAGAGGTGCTGGGCCTTGTCTGAAGACACAGAGAGGAAAATAAAAGGGAAATTAGCCAATTGTGATGGTACATCAGCAGTAGCTGTGAGTTGGGAAGACAGACCTGGAACACAGAGGATAATATGGGCTAAGAATCCAAGAATGATCAAGAGAAAACTGATGTGGAATCTTTAAGTAGCCACTCATATTTCTGTCACAACCAGCTCCAACAGTCGTCAGCTTTAATCTCTAATGAGCTGACAGCCTGTGGAGACAACCAGCCCTGCCTCCCTAATGCTGCCACTGCTCCTTTGAATTACCAACCGTGGTCCAAAGGCTTCCAGTGTCCACTGCTTGTCATTTGTGAAACCTCCCAACATGAACTGCAGCACCTTCTTTCATAGTCCTCACAACAGTCCAAGGCCCTCGAAGTGGAAAATGTCCCAAATCAGATCTTAAGAGCAGAGGAAGCTGCTGGATGTCCCAAGGTCTACTTCAAACAGGGGACAGACTCCTTCTGACAAATTCAGATGACATTCTGAAAGGCACTGTTTTAATTGCCTGGCTGAGACTAGGCCTTTATAAAAATGGTACAAGATATGGTAAACACACCATCTTCCTTGGACTCGGGTAGGCTAGGGTTTAATCCCCGCTTCACCACCTTCTAATAGTGTGTGCCTACTTTGCTGTACTTGGGGGAGGGCTGAACAAAACAATGTATATAAAGTACTTAATACAGTGCCTAACACATAGGGTGCCCCCCCAAAATAGCTTTTGCTATTATTATGGAGCTGCATAATGTCAACGGATTTAGGCAGAGGTTGTTTAAAGTGAGCCTGTAATACATACTCAATAAATGTTTGTTAACAGAAGAGCAATCCTAATTTAAGTCTTAAGCTTTAAAGAGCTGGAAGCTAACAGTTTTGTTTCCTCTCCTGGGGCTAAAAGAGGATGGTTGCAGAGAAAGAGAGCTATTGGCTGTATTGTACATTCATCGTGATTTTATTAGTGAAGCTGATACTGAAGGAACTAGATGCAAAGATCATTAAGAGGGATACAGTGTCTGCAATCAGCCCCACTGGCCAAGAGCGTACTGAAGGGCATTTACTAAACAGGGTAATTAAACATGACTTGATAGCCACCCAAAGTCCTGCTGATTACCGCAGTGAAGCAGATAAAGATGGAACCTCACCCTCTGAAAAAAGACTGGACGTTAAAGTGTCTGTCCAGCCGCCAACAGCACTGTATAATGCTCCTGTTCAGAACATATCTGATGCTAACTTCAAATATGGGTCCAACCTAGTGTCCTGACAAACAAGGGCCAACTATCCACAAGCACTGAGAAAAGTCCTATCATATACAAGAAAGAAGATTAGGGGTGTTTTTTGTTCGTTTTCCTTTTCTTAGGCCCCCTTTGGCTATTTTGTTAAAGAAACTAGCAACCTGTGCTTTGGCACAAAACTTAAACAGATAGATGTTATCAACAGCAAAAAAGATAAGGGCTACCCTTGTCAAGGATGCTTTGCTTTGTTTTCTCTCTAATCAGTTGCTCTTTAAGAAGGATCCTTTCTCTTGGCAGGAAGGTGGGAATCTTGGCTAAGCCAGTGCTAGGCCAGCAGTTTTAGTCTGGGGACAGCTACTGCAGATGTGCTTTTGTCTGTAACAACATGATCCACCAACCACCTAAACTGACCTCTGAGATCTACCCATCCTTTAAACCTGGTGTGTTTTTAAGGCTGTCGGCTGAGACATCAAGCAGACCACTTCCTGAATATGACAAGCCATGTATGCCTCCTATGGCACAGTCCACAGTCTCCCTTCCACATCTTGAGTAACACACATGCTCCATAAAATACCAGCCATGTGCAATAAAAACAGACTAAAACTTGTCTAGAACGTAACATGGCACCGATCCCATTTAAATTATATGATCATAAAATTTTGTTTTAAAGATGTAAAATATTGCTTACCTGGTCTTCTTCTCCTCCACCTTCTTCATCGTATTTTAAAATATTATCTCTTACATCATCTTCTGGATCAATTAAAAGTTGCTTGGCCTGGCGTTCTTTATCCCGGCGCTTCATCCAGACCACAAACATCAGAACGAGGACTAGGGAAGAAAAAGAAAAACAAACAAAAAAGCATAATATTGTAATTAAAACTGGATCTATCTAGTCATAGTCTTCAACACTACTAAGTTATACTTACAGTGGGGTGAAAGCTTGTAATGAATCTTTTACTCTAGTATCTGTTTCTGGCTTCACACTGAGAGAGACAAGACAGAGCAGGACCCTAGCCCTGGGTATAGAGGGCAGAGACCTGGGTCCCAGAACCTGGTGCCCTGTGAACTCACAGGGTGAATGTCTGTCCTCAGTTTCATCACCTATATATGGAGACAATAACTATTTCCATCTTTCCCTTTGGCTTGCTAGAGGATAGGAAACGCTTAATAAAATGGTTTGTAAACTCTAACACAACAAATACTAGTAAGTTAAATTGTTACTCATCACTCAGTTGCTGTTTCATTCAGGCTGGTCAGTTATAATTAGACTCCCCAGCTCGGGAGAACGGCCCATCTCAGAGAGGGTAAAGGCTTGCTTGCTAAGATGACTCGGGTCATAAGTTGCAACTGGATCAGCAGTTGTACCTTGAAGAGCTTTACTTCCAAAGGCTGGTGTCTTTCTACTGCACTATTGTGCATTCCCCTTTCATATTAAACTGCAGGTTTCAGGTAAAAAGGCTAGAGGATTATTTTGAGCTCTGAAATAACATTAGGCTTTCAGGCTTTACACTTTTGTGCCAGGTTTAGAATCATAAATTTTCCAGAAGGTTGATGTTAAAATCAGCACCAATTCATTTTCCTTCAAAATGCTATAGTCACTTCTTCATGCCGTAATCCATCATATCTAAGTTTTTCTTGATAAGGTCGGCATATATGCCACATTTCAGTTGAAACTAAAACATATCACTAAGTGCACATCTAGGAATGCATTCTCTCTACAATCTGGAGATATCAGTTTACATCCTGAAGCAAAAGATTTAATGACTCCTATTTGAGCACATTTTTATTATTGGCCATAAAAGTAAATATCCTCCCTTTAAAGCCAGATACATGATCTCATTTGCCATTGTTTCAGGGCTAAATCTAGCAAGTGGATTATTAGTATAACATGCAGGTTTCAAATTATAGTCAAAGTAGTCTCCACACAGGAAGTAAAAAATGCTCAGGCTTCTATAGTAATTGCTTAGAATAAAGGGACAGAATTCTAAATTACCAGAACATGTGTAAATGGCAAAAACATAAAAGAAATGGCCAACATTTTCAAGAAAATGATTGGTGCAGAGCACGATCGCACAATAAACTAAGTCCTGCTGCTATTCAACAATAAAACACAGGGCTCAGGCAATTTATCCTTTTAACCTGCATGGTTAGAAGTGGTTCCTAAAGTACTTTCCAGTGGTTAATTTCTTGCATTCCATTGAACCAAAAATTGCAAAGTATCTTAAAAAGGAGCAATTCCTTAATCTAGACTTTCTCTAAAGACACAGAATTTATTGAGCTGTGTAATCACTTCCATTATCAAATGTGCTATATGAAGTACAATTTCTCACTATTGTACATAGCCCTTCAGAAACAAATACCTTGATCCGTGCATGACTGGAGCAGGTTGCTGACTGTGCTTTATATGAAGGAAAGGAAAGCAAAGCAATATATGTATTTTCCTAAATCATCAACTATGTGCCATAAATTCATACTCCAATCATAAGTGCTCAAACTTAGTACTATCTAACATTTCTCTATGAAAAGAGTTTGCTACAGCTCCCTAAGCCACCTGCATCAGAAAACGGCACAGGGCATGGGCGAGGTATGCTGCTGGGTTTGCCGCAAACATGTTAAGTGCTTGAAACAATCTTCAGGGTTTTCTCATTCTAAAGTGGATGTGACTGTCCCATATATGATTGGCAAGAAAATGTTCAGAGGTCAAATCGAGTTGTTAGATTACTTTGAAAGGCAACAATAAGAGGTTACTTTGCTAAACATTCTAGAAGCCAAGAGAGTTAAAATCTCAGAGCCAAATGAAAATACTTACTGAGCAGGATGATGATGCAAAGCAGGATAGCAATAATGGCACCTGTGCCAAGCCCTGCACCCACAATTCTATCTACATCTGTGCAGTCCCCATTGGAGTCACACTGGCAAACCTTCACACGAAGGACGGAAATATTTGATTTGGGAGGATTACCCGAATCTGTGATTATGATTGGAACTTCATATATCCCAGCTTCAAGAAATTTTATCTTTAAATTAAGCTGAGCAAAATCACCTGTATAAAAAATACAGTTTGATAGTTAATACATGACATGATAAAAAACGCAGCATTTTCTAGAATGCATTTGCTACCTAATAGTATATGCAAAGCAGATTACCATTATGCTCTACTGGAACACTTTTTTGGCTTTAAGGGCTTTTAATATCATATTTAAACTTTAAGTCGCTTTTAAAATATATTTAATGAGAAGATTATAAAGCCTCTAAAATTCACTTTTCCTACCAGGCTTCAAAATCTCTCAATTGCACATATATTCAAATAATGAACCTGTTCTTACCATTAAGCCGAGTGATGGTCCAATTTCTCTTAATAGCCACTGGAGACAAAGGAAGATCAAAAGCAAACGGTCCAGCATTTGGATCAATGTCATAATCGAGTGCTGTGATGTTAATTGAATTGGGGTCTGGAGTTTCGCAAGTTTCTGCCTCTTGAGGTAACACTTGAGGGGCATTGTCATTAATATCAAGTAGATAGATCTGCAGTGTTCCCGTTCCACTCATAGGAGGAATTCCTGAAAAGGGAGAAAAATCACACTGATGCTGAACAATTCCTCTCCCACGAGCGTCTATGACGGTGAAATTCTCAAAGCTGCTACCCTTGCCCTCATCATTGTATAACCTTGGAAACATCTAGTTGCCACGGCACCTGGGCCGACTGTTATCGGAATCAGGCCACCTCTTGCTTCCTTTCTAGGATGACCCTGAGCTGCCACTACTGGCATGCAGGAGCTGTGTAGAGTGACAACGCATGTCCCTATGGAGTGCAGTTCTGCACCTTCCATGCCCTTGCTGTCCGTTACTCTGGGCCCTGTACCCACCCGCTCCTCTCGGCTCTGTGGGGAATGTAAGAGAAGCAGAACACGGGGCTCGTGATCTTCTGCACCTTGCTCTTTTGATGGGGAACCAAGACATCATGTGCATGAAAGAACATAAGAATGCTTTTAACCCTTGTGTGTGACGGTCGGATATATCCGAATGAATATTTCTACCTGCTGACTGCGGATGGAAACTTCCAGAAGGAAAGTTTAGGAAAGCAGAAGTACATCTTTCTATATTTTTGTGTTTTTCAAGAATGAATAACAATAGGAAATTTTTATACATAAAAATAATGTCATTTATATACAAAGCAACTCAAATTCTTATTACTAAATGCATAAAATAGTCAAAATATCAACTTTCTGTTTTGGGGGGAGGGAAATCTGACACATTTTGAAAAAAGAAACTTGAAATCAATTAACGCAGCAAAAGAGTTAAAGTTCAAACACAGCTACAAAATATTGAAACAGTTTACAGACGAGTAATACAGACTCACATACGTAATCCTGGGAAGGAACACCATGGAGAAATTGATATTTATTGATCGACCAACTACCTCCTTGAGAAAGTATTAGGTTGCTTGATATACCTCATTCCACTATAATCCTACAAAGCAGGTTAAACAGATGAGGAACCCATGTCTGCAAACTGCACATGGTTACACACTTTTATAAGTGATGGGGTTGCTACTACAATTGGTCTGCCTGACCCCACATCCATTCTCTTTCTACCATAAAATGCTGTCTCTACCACTTCTTGTGATAGGATTTAAAGTCAAGTTGTGTTTGCCAAGCATCACAGTGACAGATTTCACCACTCACTTCTCTCTCATATCAAAACTCTTTCAATTAGAAAACAATCCACTGTAGTGAATGAAAAATTTGGTTGCAACTCACAACCAACATTTGTATATATAACTTTATAGCTTTTTAAATCGTAACATAATGGTGCAAGATATATTATTTTAAGGTCTACTGTAGAAGAAAGCTACCGCTTACATACGGCGAGAGAGCATAAAACAGACACTAATGCTGTGTTTTTGATGTGCGATGCAGAAGCTGTTACTACCAAGTTCAACTCTAAATATTTGAACAATAGTTCTCATATTAGGAAAGGTAAGGGAAATATTGCTTTGGCTCTGTCACCATGTAGATTTGTGACTGATAACGATCTCACTGAATCTTGTAATACAGGATTTGGAAAGGTTCATTGAAACAGTTTTTATCAAAAGTATTTGATAGGTAACGTTTTTTGAAGTGCACATCTCAACCACCAAATTGAAGCCAGTTGTATTGCTGCTAACATTTATAGTCTAATACTAAAAGGATTTTAAAATATAGTTGTGATTCAGTTTTGAAACTAGTAACACATAATAGAAATACTTACTTATGTGCTTCGTTTGTGCCAGGCACTGTTTTGAAAACTTTGTTATCTTTCCTAATACACTATGAGTTAGGTACTGCTACCACTATCCTTATTTAACAGAAAAATGAAATGGACAGATGTAAAGCCTTGTTGCCAACCCACAGTCAGAAAATGGTAGGGCTGGAGTCTGGACCCTGGGAGTTAGGAAGAATTAAGAGCTTGCACTCTTAAACACACATCATACTAAGATCTAACGAAGCAAAACAAATCCAATACCAGGTTTACATAAATAACTTTTATCTCATATATCTTTAAAAAAAGTGCTATTGATTAATCTCAATCATATAGAATCCGGTAGACACCCAGAAAGAAAAAAAAAAAAGGTACTAAACTATATGTTCCAAAACCAACACACTAAAGCTCTGTACTCAATTATCTCAATTTATGCAGAAAATTAATAGTTTCCTAGCTCATTGGAGACCGGAGGCAGGGAATTAGAAAGAGGAAAAATGCTAGAGACAGATAAACTGATGGTAGCAGAAATATAAAAAGACAATCTCAAAATACACAATCGCTGGGCCACTAAGTATACACTCAACCTGCAAGAACGAGGCATCAACGTATAGCAGGGCAGAAAAACCACAAAGGTTTGTCATCACAATACAGGCTACCAGCCAGGGTGTATGGACATTACAGAACACAGGGAATGCGTCATAGAAACCCCAGCGGAAATGGAAAATAGATGTTGGGGCCTTGGAGTAACAAAGGTCAGTTTTCTAGACAATTGGGTTTCGTAGAAAACCTCATTTCCTGATGATGCATTCACAATGAGGCTCTACTCTCTCTAACAACATTCAGGATAACAGTGAGTGTATTTAATTACATACCATTGTCAGAAGCAAGGAAAGTAGCATTATATATATTGTTTTTCACATTTGGTGACTCTCTGTCCAAAACAGCAATTGTAGTTATTTGCCCATTCACAGGATCTATTTTTAGCCAATTGGCAGGATCAGATAGTTTTGTGTATCTACAAAACGAAAGTGCAATAAGTTTAATTTTTGTGATATGAAACTTTAAACATAAAGCATATTTTATCAGTTTCATTCCAAATGCAACCAGCTCATTAATTTGCATTTTTGTAGATAATGGTTGGAAATACAGCTTTAGCATGGAAAAGCATTTCTGTAAAGTGGTCATTGGAAGCACATAAAGGTTGGATGGACAGGCAGGCAGGAAACATTAGGTATGTGTTTGAAGGGAAAGACAGGAGCTCAGTCTTTCTACTGTGGGCTAAGGCGTATCTGATAGATCCTGCTTTAAGCTCCTGTCTAGTTCAGTGGAAAGCAATGGTGCAGATAAAATAGCTCAAATATACCTTTTAAATAAGCAGTAGCCCTAATGTATAGGACTTAAGAGAAATTATAATAGAAGTTGAATTTTCTAACACATAACACTCCTAAAACATTTACCACCTTATCATGGTGGAGATAAGGTCATAGTAAGATAGCGGGGAGACCCCCCCTTCCCCATAATCCCATTCCTGCCAGGATCTCCCACTCTGGGCTACACCTTAGAACTATGCCCTTCAAGGGAAATCCCACAGTTTGAGTCTGTATGAAGCAGGTTATCTGTATCAGCAGATTTATCATCTTAAACTCCTTCTTTATTGCTGGGGGAGAAGACAGGGAGAGGGCTTTTTTAAATTTAGATAACCAATATACAGAGTAGGAAAAATACCTTATGTTTCCAGAGGTAAAAAAACTGTAGGAGTTCAATACACAAATTAATTAGCTATTTATCTACGTTGATTTCAATGTATAGAGAAATGAAGAAGATACGCAGTTACCTGTTAGCAGCAGTTATGAAACAAGTTAAGTACAATATGGGATGACTTTAAAAATTATCATCACCAGCAATGCGTAATATAGTCTTGTGGGGTCTGCTCTGCCAAGCAGCAATACTCCCTCATCGGGAAAGATAAATTAGATTTTGCTGAAGTTGGAAATCTTTACAGATACGTTTTATAAGTCCTATAACTACTGTACAGGTAAAGGATGAAAATAATTATATTTTACATCTCGGTTTTGGCATGAGTTTTCTTTTCTACCTGATGTGTAGAGAAAAGATAAATGTTATAAGCTTTTGAGTGTCCCCTATTTACTCACAGTTAAAGCTTTTTTGTGATTTTGGTATGAAATCACAGGCTAAATTATTATTTAATATTTAAAAAAGGAAAGGGTCAGAAAAACAGAGGCAGGGAACATTTAAAAAAAATAATAACAGAGTAGATTTCTTCTTATATTTTTTATCTACTATACTTATTGATCTACTGAAGAAACTTCATCAAAGAATTAAAAGTAATTTTGTAATAAGTAGTTTTGATTCCAATGAAGATTTCTCACTCATTTTATGCACAGCAAATTTATGTAATTTTATATAAATTATAAAAACACCATAAATGACATTCGATACCTAATATTTTGCGGCATGTATCGATCTGGGTCCTGAGCAGTAAATGTTGTTAACATGGTACCAGCATGAAGGCCTTCTTCTTGGCGAATGATCTTGGGATTTGGAGCAAAATAAGGGTTTTCATTCACATCAATAACTGTAACAGACACAGTTGCAGTTGACTGAGGTGGGTGCTGAATACCCTTGGCTAATGGCACTTGATTTTCTGCAGCGACAGTAAGGACAAACATCCTATTTGTTTCAAAGTCGATTGGCTGGGGAAAAAAAAGGGAAAACCATATTTTTGTAGGAAATAAGAATATTTGCATTCTGCAGTTTATTATTCTATCAACTCCTTTTCCAAAACATTAATTTTTTCATTCACTACACCATAGGTTCCTCTCAATTTTCTGGAAAACATGCATTAGCATGGTCGATGATTGAAATATTTACCACAATCTCTAGAAGATATTTATAAATCTTAGCTATTTCAAAGATTTATGTTTACAAAACAATGCATATTACTATTGTACTGATTGAATTTATTTAGCTACTTCTAAAACCTTGATTATTCTTAAGAACAGTATGGTTGACCAAAAAACTAAATAATCCGAGATCAAGTGAGAACATGATGGTCTATTATACTCTTAAACATTGTTACAAAGACCATTCCTCACTAGGAAAGCTTTTGACATCTGTGATAAGTGGGAAAAACAGACTAAAATAATGTAATTTTTTATAAAGCTAAACTTATTCTATTAAAAGTGTCAATTCATAAATTGAATTACACATACTAAGAACGCACATACGCACTTTTAAAAAATAATAGTGTTTGTAGATGGAAGGTTGTTTCGTTTTTTTCCTCCCTTAGCAAACTAAAACTCTGGCTATTTTCCAAAATAATTTTGGGTATTTTACTGATCTGTAAAAATCCCAAATGTAAGAACAACACTCTATAGATAGACAATGCACGAATAACCCTTAATGTAAATATTAACTTCCAGAGTTCCACTGAACCCTATTGTCAATAGAAAATTTACCAGGAGTCAAAAATGAGCAGACCGAACTTTCATTCTTAATTTCCACTGATCACCTTCTAATGGAGGTGCAGATAAGCAGTATTGTGCGGGGATAATACGACAAAAGTGCTTGGCGAGCTCTCATGCCGTCATATGTAGTCTAAGGACGATCAAGAGCTGAAGCTAATAAGCAAGCCACATGATTAGCACAAACCTCACCAGTTTCTTAACCTAGACCATCTCCTCAAATCTTCAAACACAGTTTTTTTCCTCTCTCTAAAATCCCCAATTCAGCTTCCCTTCCTCAATTATTTTAAACAGGACAGTAAACAAGCCAGACAGTAAGACAGAATTCTTTGGAGTGATTTCATTAACCACATAACATTTATCTATGCTAAGTGGTATGCGTAGTGCTAAGACCTGTAACGTGCAGTAAGCTTATCTAGCCCTCAGAGCAATGCTGACTCAGGTACTGTTACCATCCTCACCTTCTGTATGAGGAGCCCGAGGCTTACAGAGGCTACCCAATGTGCCATGGTCACTCCACTGCCAAGGGCAGAGATGGGCTTCGAACACAGACGTTCAGGCTCTGGGGACTGTGTTTCTGATCACTTCCCTATGTTCAGACATTTCCAAGTGCCACTTCGTGGGGGAAATTATCCCTCTACTGATGCACATATAAAATTCTTGACAACTGAGACCTCAGCGTACCTTTCTATGTAAAGCCAACATTTGGGTTCACTTACAAATCAAGAGTGCTGGGATGGGAGGCAGGGAAGAAAACCTCTTCACTGGGGAGCTAAACAGGAGAGATGTTCATTTTAAAGAGCTCTTACATTAGCGCTGTGTATTTGTTACACTTGAAGGTAACACCCCTTTACTCAGCTTTAGCACTCAGTTTTATTTTCTTTTTTGACAAGGATCAGAAAAACTAATTTCTTAAAGTCTTGAACATAGCATTTAAAAACAGCAATGTAAAGTGAAAGCCTTTTAAAAGTGTGGGCCTTCTTCTTGCCTACTCATTCCATTCCATTTTACTTCTGTGATATATTCTAGATTATTCCCTGAACCAACCCTCTAATAGCAACCTACAGACACAAGAATAGTAGGTGCTGGGCGTCATTTCTAACAGCTGTCAATTGGTGGTCGAAACTTCAGGACGCGAAATATCACTAACACACAACTACCCTGACGCTTAACACTGTTGAGGGCCTTCCTGTCTTCAGATTGTTAACAACGTCCAAAATGATTTTAAAACGCTCATATTTCAGTGATAATAGGAGAATATCTACACTATGTTGACCTCAGCCTCAACATAAACTGCAAAATTACAAATGGGACTCGCCACGATACATTAATTCCAGAGTTAGAGATGTTTGAAAGAAAACAGTCCTAAGACTGAATAACAAACGTGGGGCATATACACAGAGGGTGCCAAAAAAATGTATACACATTTTGAGAAAGGAAAACTATATTAAAATTGTAATACTCAATACATACCAATAACAAAAGATGAATACAAGTCACGTTTGACTTCTGCAATGACAAGAGGTGCTCAAAGTGGTTACCATCAGCGTCCAGACACTTCTGATGACGGCAAACTACTGCTTAAGCAACGCTGACCAAAGTGTCCACTTGTACACATATTTTTGGCACCCCTGGTATTGGTCACTGCAGAGTGGCCATAAGGACAATGGCCTGAGTTGTACTTACTTTTACCACGGTGACTAGGCCGTCGTTACTGTTCGGGTCGGTCTGAATGGCAAACCGCCCAGTGGGGTCCCCACCACTGATTCTGTACAATGCATTCCAGGCCTGCGTGTGGGGCTGGTCCTTATCCGTAACAGTGAGATTCGCTACTATCACATCCACCCTGTTTTCAGGGACTTCGCCGTAGAACTGTGAGGAAGAAAAACCTCAGTCAGAGGAGTGACATGGACCAGTGAAGGTCAGCCTGTCTCCATGACCACACCACCCTGATATTAAATCTTTATTATCCCCACTTGACGAGACCAGCAATGCAGGTCATCACAAATTTATGTTTGACTTTAATAACTAACTTTTCTCTGCAGTCAATGTTTTCCAAATCATGTCATTGCTTCATTAATATTAAAATCAGCATCCGTTTGGGAGTATCTGGGTGAGTAATGGGAAGGAGGAGGATAGGACTTGTCTGAGGGAAATAATTTTCCTCCTGAGATAATAATAATTATAGGCTGACGAAGTAGCAAAAACCAGTCATGTAATTCATGTACCTGAAAAATCTTTATAATTATTTTGTTATAATAGCACTAAGGTTTTTGGGAGAAATTTCTTCTAGGCAGCGTATTTTAACAGCGTTATCAGTGGACTCAGTGACTGAGAGAAAACAAATTACTTTGGTGCCTTATTTAAACCCTGGCTTAAGAGACAGAAAACGTCTGAGTCAGTAGCCATTCTGCAATTAGGTTATGCGAGTTCCACCTCTATTTAACACATTTATTATTCATGACAAAACATCTCAGTAATGGACCACAGACCTAAAGTTCTGTGAGTGACAGTCTGTACTTACGGACATGGCAGTAAACTCTGGAGGATTGTCATTGACATCTGTCACCGTGATGACGGCCGTAGCTGTGTTTGAAAGGCCGTATGTGGGACTGCCTTCTGTGTCTGTAGCTTGAATTATTAACATATACTGTTGTACTTTCTAAAAAGACATAAAGATAACTTAAATGAAACTAATACCTCAAAAAGACATAACAGTTGTTCTATAAATGCCGCTTTATTACACGCAGAGAGCACAGCATCGTTCATTCTGATTAACATTACTTGAAATTTCCCAAGTGGAGTTTACTTTAACGTGCAAAGCACAGGTCTGGTCTTTGTCTAGAGAGATTTAACTATATATTTTCACTTCTGCTGGTGGAAGGAATGCACTGCAGATGTGTGAGATTCACAGCTAAGCTGCGCTTCCATCTGGCTTCAAAGTTTCCGTTTCTTCTGAACTTTTCAACGTTATGATCAAGCATTCAAGTCCATTGGTTTGTAGTTATTTTATCATATGTTAATTTCTACCCAGTTTAGGATACTAAAGACAGTAAAGAATCTTGAGAGGGAGAAGAAGGCATATATAACTCACGAAGTATATGTGTTTTCTTTTATGTATGTATATTTTTTAGGTAGGATTACTGAATAAAAATGTAGGCACATCACAAATTTGACATATACTTAAACATTGTCCTCTGAAAAGTCAATGCCGAGTTCAACGCCCACCAACTGTGCTTAAAGCTTACTCATCAACCCTCTTGCCAAAATGGGATATTATCCATCTATAATTTTTGCCAATTTGATGAGTAAAAAGTGACATCTCATTTCATTTACCAAACTGATTCCATGTGAATTAATAATCGTTACATATGTTTACATATGTTTGTTGGCATACTCGCATATTCTTATCTGTGTCCTATTATAACAGGATTGATACAATATTTTCTCCTAATTCCCATTTGTACATACTATTCATAACTATTATATAGGAGAGATACATTATTAAATGAACTAAAACCTAATTAAAGGATTTATGTTTCTATTCTTAGTACTGGAACGTAGTAGGCATTTAATATTTGCATACTCAACGCATTGCTATTTGGGCATAACATTCATAGTGTGCACAGACCTATAATGGACATGGACTCATTTACACACACACAATTATCAAGTAGGCATCGCTACTTTCAAATTCCAGATAGAATTTTTTAGAGAAAAGTCAAATGAAGCTGTAATATACTTAAGAGAAAATCTTGGGATTTTCTATAACATTAGCTGTTATAACAAACTCTATCTTAGGAAAACCTAACCAAAATGAGTATCTGAAATCATTTTAAATCTCTGTGGAAATTGGTACAGATAAAACGTAGACTGGTTTCATAAATGTTAGAACATTCTGAACAACAAAACTCATTTCTTCATACAAAAATAAACTGTCACTGCAAAGTGCAGTTTTCCATGATTCTAAATATAACTAACATTATGAATGGCCATGCTTAAGGGATTTCTGGAGCTTGGACAGAACAGACACAAATTGCAGCTTTTGATTTAGTTGTTAGTGGGAAGACCAAGGAAAAAAGAAGGAAGGAGGGAGAAAAGCCAAACCTCACACATTCGATTTTAAGTCTCTGTCCACCCAAATGTCAATCTCTGGCAGTTATTTACTTTAGTTTTCTTTTTTATTTTGTTTTTCTAAAAGAGAAAATACTGCACTTTTTTAAATTAAAAAAAAAAAGAAACAAAGGAATAGTGCTGGATGAGCCACTTTAAGTTTTCTTAACCCATAACACCTCACCATAATGCTCATGTAGGCTAAAATATTTCTCAATGATTTCCTTTCCCAATCAAGAGTGTCATTTCAGCTTAATGCTCTCATGCTTAGTGAGAGAATTTTGTAGGGCACTCAGTTCAGCCTCCCAGCTGAAAATAATGAAAATTTGTTGTTGCAATCCTTTTTTTTGGTTAGCTGCTATTTGCACAAATGATGATATTCTCAAAAAAAAGTTTTTTTTTTAAATAATTTTATTGGGGAATTGGGGATGGGAACAGCACTGGGGAATTGGGGGAAGGGGAACTGACAAGTTGCTGTCCTTTTGTTCTTCAGTCTAGTCGTGCAGGACATTGCTTCACTGGCCCAAGTTGGCACCATCATTGCGCTCTTCCCGAGCAAGGCAGATCAGTTGCCGGCTTCTGGACTGCTGCTGCTGGCCGCTGGCTACACAGGTAGACCATGGCAACCCACTGCAGCAGGGGCTGCAGCCTACGCCGTCGCCGGCGACTCACGGCAGCCCAGCTCCAGGTTGAGCTGTTGTTCAGCATCTTAGCTATAGAGGGCAGTGTCACTGGCCCTCATATGTGGGATCCGAACTGGGGCCCTCTGGCGTTCCAAGCCAGCTCTTAACCAATGCGCCACTTGGCCAGTCCTCAAAAAAATGTTTTAATTAAGCTTTATTTTTAAAGATAAAAAAAATCCACACAGATATTATGTGGAGACATAGTTCCTTGTTAATGCCTAGTCTACAAAGATTTTAAAATCATATAAGCATAATATATGCAATTATCCATTGAGCTGAAATATTTCGATCAGTAGCTAATACTTGAAATTTCCTATTGCTTCAAACTAGTCTTGAAATCTGTTAAGTCATAAAAGAACTTTGTTATTTCTAAAATACAATGTCTCTTCAAATAAAGACATAACAACTTGGCAACTAATAAATATAATTTTCAAATGCCTGGTTGGCAAAATGCTCTTACATTCAGTAACGGCAGCCTATGTTTTAGACAACCAAACTGTTTAGAGCTTCTTGCTTAATTTAGTCACTGGGCATCTGGTTCTGAATGACTGACATTTAGAGTCCATAAGGATGTGACTCCCCACCCTCACAGTCCCACATCTGACCAAGGGAGCTTTGCTTAAAAACACTTCTATTCTAGAATGGATAAACTCATCTGCTTACTGACAATCCTTCCCTCTCTTTCTTAACTATCTTACCAAGACTATCACTCTTCATCCACTCACCCCAAACCTTGAGCTTTTTGTATTTTCAAATGCCTGTCATTTCTCTACATCATTGCTCCTGGCATTTCTTTTTGCCTAAACTGCTGGTTTTCAACCAGGGCGATTTTGTACCTTCCAGGGGACATTTGGCAATATCTTAGGACATTTTTTGGCTGCCAAAACTGGGGGGTACTACTGACATCTAATGGGTACAGGCCAGAGATGCTGCTAAACATCCTACGATGCGCAGGACAGGCCTCCACAACAAAGATTTATCCGATCCAAATGTCAATAGCGCCAAGGTTGAGAAACCCTAGCCTAGACTATCCTTTCCTTCATTCTGAGTCTGATAAACAAGAAGTTTAAATGTCACTTCAGAGATGACTTCTGAAGGTCCTTGAGGCAGAGCTGTTTGCCGACTCAGGAAACACTTATTTTCACTGTTTCCAGTTTATGTGACTGTCATCAGTCCATATGCCTGTCCTGCCTAAACACCCCCTCCTCCCAGGGCACTTGCTTTGTCAATGTTCAGGCTGCTGGCATACACAGATGCCTGACACAGAGGACAGCCTAGCAATAAATACTCTTTTAAAATATTTTAAAGTTATAGTTGATATAACTTTTTAGTTAATATTTTATTAGTTTCAAGCATACAATATAATGATTTGACATTTATACAACTTATAAAGTGATCGCCATAAGTCTAGTAACATTTGTAACTGCACAGAGTTATTATGATATTACTGACTATATTATCTACACTGTAGATTATATCCCCAGGGCTTATTTTATAACTAGAAGTTTGTGCTTCCTTTTTCCCTCCACCTTTTTTGGCCATTCTCCTACTCCTGGGCAACCATGCGTTTGTTCCCTGTATCTACGAGTCTGTTTCTATTTTATTTTGTTGTTGATTTGTTTTGTTTTGTTTTAGATTCCACATATAAGTGAAATCATATGGTATTTGTCCTTTTCTGTCTGACTTATTTCACTCAGCATAATAGCCTTGAGTTCCATCCATGTTGCCACAAATGGCAAGATTTAAATTTTTATGACTAATATTCCATTGTACAATATATACATATACATATATATCTAAAACATCTTCTTTATCTATTCCTTTATCGATGGACCCTTAGTTTGCTTCTATATTTTGGCTATTGTAAATAATGCTGCAATGAACATAAGGGTATGTATATCTTTTCAAATTATCGGTTTCATTTTCTTTGGATAAATATGCAGAAGTGGGATTGCTGGGTCACATGGTAGCTCTGTTCTTAATTTTTTTGAGGAACCTCCATACTGTCTTCCATTGTGGCTGCACCAGTTTACATTCCCATCAGCAGGGCACGAGGTTTCCCTTTTCTTCACATCCTCACTGACACTTATTTGTTGAATTTTTGCTTTTGAAATTGTGGTTGGATGGATGAGTGAATGAGAAACCTGCGCCTTGCATTACATTATAAAAACCATTTCATAAATCCATTCAAATAGGGTCAATTAATCTATGACAGTGGAAGCAAGAATTTACATTGGGGTAAAGATAGTCTATTCAGGAAATGCTGTTGGGAAAATTGGACAGATACATGCAAAAAAATGAAACTGGGCCACCTCCTTACACCATATACAAGAACAAATTCAAAATGGATTAAATACTTAAATGTAAGACCTGAAACTATAAAACTCCTAGAAGAAACTATAGGGAGTAAATTTGCAGACATTACCCTAAGCAATATTACTGATATATCCCCACAGGCAAGGGAAGTAAAAGAAAAAATGAACATATGAGATTACATCAAACTTAAAAGTTTTTTCACAGCAAAGGAAAATCCATCAATAAAACAAAAAGGAAGCCTACTGAATGGGAGAAGATATTTGTCAATGATATATCTGATAAGGAGTTACTATCCAAAATTTATAAAACACTCATTCAACTCAACACCAAAAAAACAACCCTATTAAAAAGTGGGCAGAGGATATGAAGAGGCATTTCTCTAAAGAGGACATACAGATGGCCAACAGGTATATGAAAAAATGTTCAACCTCACTAATCATTAGAGAAATGCAAATAAAAACCACAATGTGATACCACCTCACTCCAGTCAGAAAGGCTATCATCAATAAATCAACAAACAACAAGTGCTGGCGAGGCTGTGGAGAAAAGG